ACTTTTCTTTAACATTGCTCTCAATCTGGGCAGTAGGTATTGTCACTCTCCAGCTTACTAATAAGAGTTTGCAAGTAGATATTGTCATCTCCAGTTCCCTAATAAAAGTTTCGGAATGTTAAAATCACTCAGGTTTAGTTAACACATCTAGTGGTTGAATTAGTAGGCATGTATAAGATATATATTAGGTCAATGTTAAGTTTTCTTTTGATAAAGTATTCATCAATCTTGATATTTTTTGTTTGGTTGTGTTACACAGGATTGTGTGTGATGCTTATGGCTTACTTGTTTTCGTAATATACGCACATGAGGGTTTTCCACTTGATTCTTATATTTTCTAAATTCTTCTTATCCATATTAATTCACATACCCTTTGTGTTATTATTTAGAATTCTGATTTGCAGCTAATCTAGTAATTATATTTGCTTTTTACTTCTCCAAGTGATAAGGCTGTCTCCAAGGAAGATACAATATTCTATGGTAGATTTTTTGTTTATAACTTACTCAACATAATCTGCATCCGTATAAAGTTCTAGGAGCAGTTTATCATTCTTCCTTAACATGATTTATTTTTCCGATGACCTTTTTAAGTTATGGAGTATTTTGTAAGCGGCATGTAAGTGCACTTCTTTAGGACTCTGCATGAATTGGCTTACAACATTTATTACATAGGTGATGTCTGGATTGTGTGAAATAAATATATCAATCTCTCAACTAATTTCTAATAAATTTTCTTGTCTACCGAAATATTTTCTTCTACTACTCCTAATTTGATTGGGATCAATAAGAGTGTTATCTGGTTTATAAGCTAACTTGCCAGTATCTCTCAACAGGTCATTAATGTAATTCTGTTGAGAAATAAAAATTCTTGATTTTAAGCAGATGACTTCAATTACAAGAAAATATTTCAACTTACTCAGCTCTTCAATTTTGAATTCTCTTGTCAGACATTATTTTAATATTAATTTTTATTTCTCATCATTTCATATTATGATAACGTTATCAACATATACTAAGAGGGCTGTAACTCTGATATCTGAGTGTCTGATGAATAGAGTGTGGTCTTCTTGAGCTCGCTTAAATCCCAAGCTTATCATTACATTTGCGAAGCTGCCAAATCATGCTCTTGGCAAATGCTTAAGTGCATACAGTGTCTTCTTTAGTCTACAGATTTTATTTAATCCTGCTTCTCTATCAAACCCTGGTGGTATACCCATATAGATCTCTTCTAAATCTCCATACAAAAAGACGTTTTTACATCAAATTGTCGTGGTTGTCAATTAGAGTATGCATGTAATGGTAACAAGATTTGCATAGTGTTCATCTTGGCTTCTGGTAAGAATATCTCCTACTAGTTTATCACATAAACATGCGTATAATTTTTACCCCCAGTATTGTTTTATATCTCTCTTGTCCCATTTGCCTTATATTTGATTTTAAAGATCTATTTGCATCCCACCAATTTCGTGCCTTTGGATACATCCACCATTTCCCATGTCTACTTTTTTTAAATATCTGTGTTCTTATTTTTATAGTATTTTTCTATTTTCCACAAAATAATGTCTTACATATTGTGTTAAGAATAGACTCAATATTCAAATATATGAAAAAAGTTTTATGGGATGGTCAACATTTATCAAATACCAGATATTGTAAGATAAGATGAAGTAGATTTCAGTGCAGTCTCTGGTACCATCTCTTTTGTATTTGATTTTAAATACTCATTTTGCATTCCACTAGTTTCTTACCTTTTAGATAGGTCTGTCATTTTCCATGTCTGGGTTTTGTCAAGTGGCTGCATTTTTATTTTCATATATTTTTTTTTCATTTTTCACAAGATGATGCCTCAAATATTATGATAGGGATAGACTCAACAATCAAACTTGG